CTGGCCTCGGAGAGGTTCAGGAACATCAAAGCTTCTAGGGCTTCTGCAGCCGTGCAGCAGTGGTAAGACGAATACACGCAGATTCTTTCTGTCAAACCCTTGCGCGAGAACATGGAAGCTGCGCCAGCTCACTTTGGGTTTCTGGTTGCTCGTTGCTCATGCGCAGGAAGGCGTCCGAGATCCTGTCGCACTCGCGTGCAGTCAGCCAAAGCCTCCACAAAATGATGGTTTTGCAAGGGCTTGGGTTGTTTCCAATTTACCGGAAGAATGTATGTCGGTCCAGGGGCACACACAGAGACACGCAGACACAGACACAGACGCACGCAGGCGCGCAGGCACGCACGCCCACACACACACACCAAACCTCAACGCGGCAGCTGCAGCCCAGTTCTACTTGTGCTGACAAAGCGTTTTTCCGCGCAGTCCCGCACAACTGGCCCGAAACTTTAACCGCTAAAACTTAAATCACAAATCCTAAACTCTGAAACCCTATTTCATCAAAAGTTCTAAAACCGAAACCCCTGCACCTTGAAACCCGAAAACCCTCTGCTCATGTTACATAAAACATCTACCTTGCTTGGAACTGCGCTGCTAATGTTTTGTAAAACATTAGCCCCCCCGGCTGACACCTGCTGCCAGACCTCATCCTGCGGCGGCTCCTTCAGCAGAGGGTTCTGCGGCGTACCGTTCTTAAGGTGTTCAGGGGACTTTTTGGGGTCTGTAGGGCACGATTTAAGGGCTTGGCGTGACACTATGTAGAGGGATTCCTGTAGGGTTTAGTTTCTAGGGTTTAGGGTTTAGGGTCCTCATTGTAAGCTAAGGTATATTCCGTGGTGTATGACTTGCGAATGGGGATGGTGGCTTTGTTTGCTTTTCTTTTGAGGGGAGGAGGGGCGGGGGGGGGGTGAAGTCCAAACCTAGGCCGGGGTTGGGGACGAGGTTTCGGGTTGAGGGTTCAGGGTTTATCAGGCTTAGAGGTTGTCATATGGAATTAAAGGGCTGATGCTTTCAGAATGTGCGAGTGCGAGGACCCTAAGTCGAGTGGTTTAGGACTTGGGGTTCGGTTCCAACACCCTCTGCCGCCCTGAGCCTCTGAGCTTGCAAGCCATGCCCGGCTCCTGTTCGACTCGCTGCCGAAGCCGCGCAACTCGAAAAGAATGACCTTCTTTCTCTTGATTGGGTGTTTGGATTTAGGGCTTGGGGGGCAGGGTTTAGGGTTTAAGCACAGGAAAGTTGCAAGCATTTCGATCGTCTTCTTGCGTCTCATTGCAGGATCTTGAGGTGACCACGCGCGACGTCATCCGGCAAATACAACACGGACTTCGTCAGCTGCGTCTCCATTTCCAGGACCTGACGGGAGCCACGTGACTTGCTGGGCGCCATAACGATGGAGGGCAAAGATCGTCAAAAGTTAGTTGGCCACTTGACGGAGCGGTCTACATCCCAAAAATGATCAAGTGCCCTCCCCCACTACAAGTAGTGTATTGCGACCACACGCCCTCATGACACGGCTGCTCTCGCCTTTCTCCACAGTTGTGGCCGCCTGGAGAAAACACCCAAAGCGGTGTTGTAGGTCGCACTCGAGATCCTCAGATGCATCTGGCAAACCCGACTTCCCCAACAACGGCTCCCCCAGATTTGCTCAGACTTGCTGAATCTGAACATGCTGTTTCGCCTCTTGGTTGGGAATGTGGCCTGGACTCCACCCAATGTCAAAGCACAGCTCCGCGAGTTGGGTCCGCGCAGCAATACCTCCTAGTATCTTAGGGGTTTAGGGCTTTAGGGTTTAGGGTTTCCTAGTCTGGGAGCCTGTAATTCTTGCGTGCGCGCGCGGAAGTGCCGATATATTGAACATGCGCTGGGCGCCTCTTCAAATGGTCGCACGCTGTTCGAAGCAAAGCGTCGCAGCATCCTTACTACTAAGTCTTATACTAGGTTTGGCCCTTCGAACCCTCTGAAAAAAATTGCCTAGATGAGGTACTCTTAAACACAAAAACAGGAAAAACTAAATATCCCCATGTCCTTCCTAGCAAACAATATGTCAGCAGTTTGAGGCCGCCGCAGCACCTTCCATCTGCGTATTGCAGACAGGCTGCTGCAGGCCTGGAAATGCCATGAACGGCAAAATTAGGGTTAGGGTTTAGGGTTTAGGGTTTAGGGTTTAGGGTTTAGGGTTCAGGGTTTAGGGTTAAGGTTTAGGGCCACAGAGGGCTAAGGTTTAAGGTTTCGGGCTTAGGGCCACAAGCCTTTACTTGATAACTCTAGGGGCACGTGACACACATAAGAGCTTGCGGGCGAAAGAAACTTTACATGCAGGGATGCCAGAAATGCAACATCAGACACTGACATTGCCATGCTGGCAGGACGACGGCAGTACTCGCGCAGCCCGAAATGCAATACCCTAGCGCCCAGACCCTAAACCCTAATACCTAAACGGAGCATGGGCTGAGGATAATGTGAGCCTGGGAATCGCTGGCCTGATTCTAAAGTCTCAGCCTACTGGCTCTAGTAGGGAATGAGGGCCTTACCCTTTATGTACTCCCTTATCCCTCCTCTAGTACAAGAGAATCCACACCCTACACTATAAACCTTACAAACCCTAAGAGCCATATCAGCCCGAATGGCTGGATTGACCGCACTTCCGTACAAACCCCATTAGCCTGCCCGCTCCTGCACGCTCCTGCCCGATAACAACGTATAAGCCCTGTCAAGACGAATATGATCCCCATGGGCCCTACGTGCCCAAGCCCAAACCTATTTGGGCCCTAAGCACTCCAAACCCCTAAATCCCTAAACCCTGAAACTCACTGTGAACGAGATTCAATGCAACATTTGGAGTTTTGGCACTTGTAGTCCTTATAGTCTTACTTCATTCACACACCTTAAAACCCCGAGCCCCTACTATTAAAATCACATAGGCCGCTATGTCAGTTCCCAAGCCGAAGACCCGGGAAGCCCCACCCATTGCCACGGACGAAACCGCCGGCAGAATGCCTTAGGCTCTTTCTCCGAAATGGAGTGGTGGTGGTTTGGGGCTTTAGGGTTTAGGGTTGAGGGTTGAGGGTTTCCTAAACCCCAAAAACCCAAAACGTTCATACCTAAACCCTAAACCTTCGGGACAGAAGGTCTACGCTTGCATGAGGGCCACCCTGAACCCTGAACCCCCTAAACCTAAACCCTAAACCCTAAACCCTAAACAGAAAAGGGAACCATTGCTTGCTGCTTCAGGGCCTTAGCAAGATCACCCTTTCGGGCTTATAGTAAGCTTGTAGGGTATAGGGTTTAGGGTTTCTAGTAAGCTTATGGGGTATAGGGTAAGTTTAGGGTTTAGGCCCTAAAGGCAATGGGAACAGTGGGCACCATGGAGATCCCACGGCTCTGACTGTAGCGTCTAATTGTCAAGGTCCAACCAAGTCCTGTTTAGGGTTTGGGGTTTAGGGTTTGTAGCATCTAAGATGACTCAGTCGCGAAGTCTCTACAGAATAGGGCTCCGGGCTTGGGGTTCTCGGGGACATAGGGTGTGCACACATCATCTGCGTCTATTAAAGCACATGTACATGCACATGCGTGTTCTCAAAAACGAATGAACATGTAACATGCATCCGGCACGTGTATGTTAATTATGTGTACATGAAAGTAAGACGTGCGAGCCATGGCCACGGCCTACATGAGTCATGCGCGGCCATGCTGGTCATGCTGTGGCATAGTCATGCTCTGACTCCTGACTCTCGCCGGGTCAATGTAGGAACACGTGTTCTCAGAAGGAAAAGGACTGACGAATGGCACACGCATTTTAGCATCTCTCCTTACTTGACCCTGGAGAGTGCCAGCGCAGAGCGGCATGTTGCTGAGGGAGCATGATGCATTGTGATGAGTGTGCCAAGCTACGCTGACTGCCAATGCGGCTGCAGGGTCATCGAGGACAATGTCCTCCAGTGCGGAAGCAGTCCCCAGCCAAACAAAATAACAGTCCCTGAAGACCTTGTGGCTTAGGATTTCTGCATGGACGGTCGAACCGTAAACCCACCTGTGGGTGGATCAAGGAAGCTTGGAACAACTACAGAAGGGGGATGGGATGAGGAGCAGATAGAAAGGAAGGAACCCTAAACCCTAAACCCTAAACCCTAAACCCTAAACCCTAAATCCTAAACCCTAAACCCCTCAACCCTGAGCCTCCTCACGCCGAAGCCACACCCTGACACTACTTGGAGGTTCATGGGTAGTTAGAAGTAGGGTTAAAAGTACGTTAACTGGGGTGATTAGTCTAGTTAGGACCTCAAACCCTAAGCCCTAAGCCCTACACCCAAAACCCTGAATCCCTAACCCCCCCACACGCGTCTGGGAAGGAGCCCAAAGCCCTAAACCCTAAACCCTAAACCCTAAACCCTAAACCCTGTCGAGGGACTGAAGGACTTTGATTTGTTTCTGGTGTCCCGGCCTCATGCCTTGACAGCTGCAGGAAGTACAGCGTCTCGCTCCACGCGGATGGAGCCTCGGCGCTGGGTTGGCGTTTAGGGTTTAGGGCTTAGGGCTTAGGGCTTACGGCTTAGGGTTTAGGGCTTAGGGTTTAGGGCTTAGGGCTTGGGGTTTGGGGCTTTGGGCTTAGGGTTTAGGTTTTACAGTTAAGGTTTAGGGTTTCAAGTTTAGGGGGGAAGTGCAGGGGAACCGAACAGTGAGCCCGATCCAAGCAAGGAGCCCCTGAATCGCAGGCCCCAAAGACCTGAACCTGAACACTCCAGTAGGACTTCGAAGGTTGGGCTTCGGAGCTTAAGCGTTTCAGGAGTTTGGGGTTTAGGGTTGCAGGAGTTTAGGACTAGGCTTTAGAAGCTTCAGTGTACTGTGTTTTTTGGGAAGACCAGGGGTTCAGGGTTCAGGGGTTACAGGGGCAAGGGGGTTCAGGGGTTACAAGGGCAAAGCGCGATCTTGCTTTTTCAGGATCAGGGATGCTATCCCGGGTTTCTCAGCTCGTGTTGCTGTCCGGGCCGAGCTGGTGATGCTCTCTAAAAGAAGCCGCCCTTCACCATCTCCGACAAGAGGAGGGCGACTGGCCATTGCCAAGTTCCGCAGCCGATCAACAAGGAGAAAGTCGTGGCGACAACGAGCCCATGCTTGATCCACAGGTAGTCGTTCAACCAGATCACGGCCATGCCTAGGTAGGGCAGATAGGCATGCACACGGCCCACGATGTCTCTCTTGCTGAGGAAGAGCTGGTCCTTTGGATAGAGGCCTCTGTCATCGACTAAATTCTCGTCACCCTTTGTGAGTACGGCCATCTCTCCGGCAGGTGTCTCATGCAGCTTCACCAGCCTGTGGACAATGGGAATCTCTCGGTCCTTGAGTTGAAACGCGATGAGGTCACCAGCCCTGAGCCGCTCATCTAATCGAGAGAGAAACAGGAGATCGCCTCGGTGTAAGACAGTTCCATCGCCGCTCAGAATCACCAGAACTGGCCTTGCGTTGTTCGTGACCAGCACTAAGCCTTTCCAAAGCATCAGCACCGCGAAAAAGACGCAGCACAAATTCAGCGCGCGCTCCAAAAGCTGCCAAGGTCTCCTCGCAAGGCGGCGAGACTCGCGCACATGGCGCCAGATGATCTGCATTGCTGGCTTCCAGGCTCATAGCAAACCTTAGACTGAGAAGACAAATACGCTTGTGCTCGGTTTGCCGGCTGCGTCCAATGACTTTAGCATCAAAGCCCACAATGCCTGATAATAGTTTGGACCTTGGGTCCAAAAGTGCCCCTAGACCCTAAACCCTTGTCGTAAATTCGTGTCTGCTTGCGGTCTCGCGACATCGACCTTGAGCCAAGTGATGCTCTTGGTAGCAAGTCACAAAGAACCCAAGACACCTTAAGGCATACCTGAACTCATAACGTGCATCCCTATATGGTTTAAAGTATCACCCAAAACCCCTATAACTCCAGCTGCCCTAAGCTTGCTGGTTCTTAGCAACGTAGCTCAAGGGTACCTATTAGCCGACTTCCTGAAGAACTAGTAGGGTAACTGTACAAGGAACACTCCGAACCCCAAACCAGAAAACCTGAACCGAAAACCCTTAAGCCATAAGCCCTGAACCTCGAACCCCTAAATCCCTAAACCCCTAAGCCCCACACCCTTAAGCCCTAGAAACCTACACCCTAAACCCTATAACTTATACCATGAACCTACAACCCTAAGCCCTGTAACCCTCAACCCTCTAAACCCACACCCCGAAGCCCTCTAACCCGAAACCACCTCGGCTCAGCTTCGGACGCAGGCCCTCAGGACCTTCGCGCAGGTCTGGCAGTCCGGCTGCAGAGCAGCCTTCCTCTTCTCCAAAACTCCGCTTTAAGATTGAGGCTTCGGGGTTTTAGGGTCTAGAACATGGCTGTATAGAGCTTAGGGAACTATGCTTGGAGTTCGGGTTTTAGGGTATAGAGCACAGGTCTATAGAGTTTAAGGTTGAAGCTTCAAGGCGTTTGAGTGCACCTAGGGGTGTATAATACGCCTGCGTCTAGTGGGGAAGAGTATTAACCCTAAACCCTACTGGAAGTTTGGTGCCAACAAGAGTGCAGGGTCAACATCTTCTGCGTGGCTTTAATGGTCGAAACCTTTAGGTTTGGGGTTTATTGGGTTTAGGGCGTTTCATCTGGAAAAAATGTGTTTTTTTGAGAAAAGCTTGGGGCTTTCAGTATGCTGCTACCTGCGCGCCTGATTCGCCGCAGCAAGTGCAATGACCCAGTCCAGGCACGACCCTCTTCGGCCAAGGACGCGAACCTTGTGCTCGCAATAGTGAAGAGTTGAGGTTGGGATGTTCCTCCTTATACTAACAGTCCTTCATAGGGAGAGAATCGGGGGTACAAAAATCCCTATGAAGGCCTGTTAGCAAAGAAGGGGGGAACATCTCAACGTGAAGGGCTTAAGTCCCCGAACCCTAAAACCTAAACCCAATCCCTCAACTTCAAGTGGTCTGGACTCAGGGGCTTCTCCGGCAGGGGGCTGGTTCTAGTTCTTGGTCGACGGCTTCGAGTAACGCAGCAGCTATAATCTCAGCACTCGATGCAGTCTTCAAAGTAAACCCAACAAGCATATCATGGTGAACAATGTTTCGACAAGCATCACAAACGATATCGATGGAAAATCAGAAAATACGGCAGTAGAAAAGAATGTTAAATGAGTAACGAGGAACCCCAATGTTCTAGAGGCTCTCATATGGACATTTCCCGAAATAGGGTGCCTCGAATATACCCCAAAATACTATTATCCTTTTTCTAGGAAGCCACAAAAAGGGTAAACCCTAAACCCTAAACCCTAAACCCTAAATCTACCCCCTATTTTCGGGAAACTGCATATTGGCGCTTCATGATGGGCTTAATGAGTGGACTCTAGTGCCTCAGGAGTCTTTTACGGGGGCTTCCGACACCCGAAACCCTAACCCTAAGCATCCAGCTTTGGGGTTTAGGGTTTGCGGTAAACGCCCTTGAGGGCTAAGGGAGAAGGCCCCTCCTTCCACGACATTCCAGGCTCAGGGCCCTGCGCGCCGCAAATTGAATCTGTGCTGAGTTGAAAGCCGCGATGCCGCCTGGCATCCAGTAAAGGCTGAGGGTTTGGGGCTTTTGGGTAAGTAGAAGTAGGGTTATGGATACCCTAGATAGGCTTATGAGTAGATGTACCACCCTTCTGACCCCACTTCAAAATTGCCCCTGAACCTCCAAATAGGGTTTCGGGCTTTGTGGGTTCAGGCTGCCCTGAGAAGCATGATAACACATGGCATGCCTAAGTATTCCGAATTGGGGCTGCTGCGAACCCAAACCCTGTAAATCCCTAAACCCTAATCAATTTGCACCGACAACAACCAGAGAGCTCGACTCCAACGGAGCTCCGAGCTTCAAATCCTAAACTCGGGTGGCTTTGGGGACTCGGCCTTTAGGTTTCAGGAGTCACGCAGGAGTTTGAAGGGTTTAGGGGTTTAGGAGTTGACCCAAAACCCTAGGCCCGAAAAGCCCGGAATCTCCAAAAAAAAAGCCCTTGAGCGCGAGAAACCTAGGCTTCGACCTAAGAGTAACCTAGCAATACAAAGGGTGGCGTTTTGGTTTGAACCCCAAACCCTAAACCCTAAACCCTCAACCTAAAGGGGCTTCTAAGAGTTTAACCCGCCAAAGAAAACCCCTGTATCCTTACTGGTGCTTACGGGGGAGTGGGGGGGGGGGGGGGAGTGAAAACACATGCACTGCGAAAAGGCTCATAAGGTAGGTGTGTGTGTGTGTGTGTGTGTATATGTACACACACACACATGTGCTACCCCTGTTATCTACCATTCTTGGCACCATATGTGCATATTCGTATGCAATGTAGGGGGATTGAAGTCTTTCCCCCCAACTCTCAACCCCCTCTTTGAGCACCAGTGCGGATTGTGCAGAAGAAGCGTGCGTGCTTGGCATCGCCGAGAGGCCGCTGAGCGCCTGTTGATGCGGGTTTGGGGCACAGGCATCAGCCCAAAAAGTCCTAAGCCGAAACTCCAGCCCTTCCCCTTAGCAAACGGCGATGGGAGGCCGGAGCCACGACGGCAAGTAAATATGAACGCAGTTCAGGGCTCTGGGCTTGGGGTTTAGGATTCTTTGGCTTCAAGTTGCTCCCAGGAAATTTCAGGTCGTTGGCCTCGTGTTCTTTCGGAGTCTTTTGGGTAAGAGCCCTATGTCAAACCCAACATGGAAGCCTGGACCTGCAGCTGTGCCAGAAGAACTCTGGTCCCTAACCCCAAACCCCAAACCCTCAACCCTGAACATGCCATCCCTAAGCCCGAAACCCCCCCCCCCCCAAGAGGTCTGAGACCAAGGGGCCTGGGTCCACCCCTGAGCGGCGCCCATGTTTCCTCCACAACGGACGTTTAGGGTTTTTGGGTTTTTGGGGTGTTGGGGTTTTAGGGTGTTTAGGGTTTTGGGGTGTTGGGGAGTTGGGGAGTTATATAGGGGTGTTTTTGGTGTTTTTGGTGTTGGGGGTGTTGGGGGTGTTGGGGTTTTGGGGTTCAGGGTTTCGCGTTTTTGGAGCTAACCCTGAAACAGGAATGAGAGCAGAACAGGCGCCCGTTTACTTAGCATGGGCATTTTGGGGGTTACAAGGCAGACTATATAACTTGAGTAGGCCTCTGTATTGGAATCCCTAAACCCTCAACCCCAAACCTCAAAATCTCCAAAACCCCAAAGCCTGCATGATGCATGAACTCAACCCTCAACCCTACACCCTAAACCCCTAAAGCCATAAGACCCACGGTTCAGGCAGCCGACAGTTGAGTGGCCATTGACTCTGCCCCCCTCTCCAAACAGTGGGCAGGGGGGTCCGGTGATTGGGGGCAGGTGCTTGCAGACCGCTGATGCCATAATGAACCACAACTCTTGAACATGGACCCTCCTGTTGCATCTGTCCACGTGAGGGCATCTGCAACTGGGAGCCTGCGAATGCGCCATGGAAAGACGCACTTCAGCTTGGGGCTCATCGGCTCTACATCGAGATTCATGCGCCTGCCGAATGGCATGTCAGACTACGCAGCGACCAGGGCAAGCACTGGCCAACTCTGTTGTGAGGGATGGCTGAAAAAAGCCGGACCCTCCCCTACTGTAAGGGAAGCCACACTGACAAGGCTGACGGAGAGTTGTAAGGACGTAGCCCGAAACCCTAAACCTGCCGCGGCGCTGCCTGAGACATCCCCCTGTCGCCAGCCGCAAGGCTTCTTGCCACTGCATGCCTCTGGGTTTTCGAGGGATTTAAAGAGGTTTAGAGGGTTCACATTGTTGTTGCCTGCCAGTACAAGGGGCACCGTAACCAAGGCTCCTAGAGGTGTTCTAGATTCCTGAACCCTAAACCCCAAACCCCCTGAACCCTAAACCCTAAACTCTGAACCTTGCTGTTTCTTGCTCGACCCCAGAGGCAGTCCTGAAGTCCTGAAACATGCTCACGCTGCTCGCATCGGTTTGGGTTTCGGGTGCTTGCAATTTATACTGCTCTTGCAATTTATACCTGCTCTTGCAGGGCCTGTCCAAGTGCACATGGTCATTTCTCAAGATTATGGTCGCTTTTTGGATGCCCTCAAAGGGACCTGTGTTTGGAGAAGTGAACACAGCATCCCTGTCAGCACTCATTGTCATAGTAGTGAGCAAGGTGGCCTAATGCTGCCGATCTCAAATCTCCAATGCACAGCTGCATGCGGAACCTTCATGGAAACCTGACATACCTCAGAACAAATGCCACTAAACCTCTAAAGTTACACTCCCTGAGCCCCCTAGGGCCTAAAGCCTGCAAACCTACACTCCAAAACCTGCGCCCCAACCCCTAAATTCTGAAGAAGCTGAGGCGCCCCATCGGAAGCTTCGCACGAGCGACGAGCCAATGCCAGGAAAAGCATCGCCCAGAGGCCCAGAATACTGCATGCCTCCCAGCAGGGTCTACCATTCCTAAACCCATGAAATTCTGCCAGTTTAGGGCTTTTAGGGTTTAGGGTTTAGGGCAGGTAGTCGGGAGCAGCCGCATCAAGACAAGGTGGTGCGTGGATTTGTCCAAAAACACAAGGCGGATCCAAACGATACAAGACGAAAGGTTTAAGGTTTAGTTTAGTGTTTAGGGTTCGG